GGCAGTAAACATAATTCATCCAGTTTTTCTCAGTCTTACCCCCACCCCGATGTCAGCCTCATTCACAACAGTGGAAGATAAACATCTTTAGCGACCTAAAAAGTAGGATGCCTAAAATGAGCCCTGATCTTTTTTTGAAGATCCTTATTACTTAGGTAATTCAGATTCCCTCCCCTCCCAAGCATTCACGCATATATGCATACATGATTCTTATATTAATCTTAAAGCCTTTTTTAAGTTTCTGTCATAAATATTTGTACTTTCTTATTTCATTTCAGGTTATACAGGGCTTTATGAAGCCTTTGAGAATTGGGATTTCCAAAAAATTGAAAATTTAGAGGAGTATAGACTACTTTTAAGACGTCTACAACCAGAATTTAAAAGCCGAGTTAATCCAATAGATATCCTCCCTGACATAGCCCCATGTTTAATTAGTCAGGAATGTGAAGAAATTAAACAGGTAAGTTAATGCATATGAAAATTTAATTGGATTAGAAAAGAACATAAAACTATTTGGGCACCTAACTTGAAAATGGGAAATGTCTTTTTTTTTTTTTTTTTTTTAATACTGCTAGTTGATTCGGCAGGTGAGTTGTTACACACTCCTTAGGAAAATGGGAAATGTCTTAATGAGAAAGATAATTGAAATCCATGAAAGTTCTAAAATTCAAGGGAAGATCGTATACTTGCAATTTCAGTGTGAACTGAGTTATTTTTGCTGCAATTTTTTTCAGATTTGCCCTTTTTTTGTTAAATTTACTTTATTACTTTTGTGGAAAAGGTTTCATGCCACTTTAAATACCTTTGAATAGTTCAGCAAGTAAAAAGATACACGTAAAAAGGCTTATGCTCACGGTCAGGTACTCTGGTGCAGAAATCCTAATTTTGTTGAAATGATTATTGGTGTGATCTTGAGCAAGGTAGTCAGCCTGTCTAAGATTCTGTTGCTTCATGTATGAATTTGAAGTGTAATTGTATCTTATTAAATTATGCTTTCCTACAGATTATGGGCGATAATATATGTAAAGTACTTATATGTGGCTACAAATAAAAACAAGTGATTAACAAATTTTAGTTACTGTGTTTATAAATGAAGATTAAGAATAACAGTCATGAAAATCTCATTACCCAGAAAAAACAGCTCATATTTGGTAATATTCTTTCAGTCATATCTCTGCGCCAGTAATACCTTTAATTCTGAATGGTTGGTGAATGAATTACTTCTCTTCTTTATGTGGCTGATGATACCGTCTAAGAGCTCAAAAGATTTAGAGGGGGCATGACTTCATATAGTGACATCAAGTGTAAGAGCAAAGATGAAAAGAGTACCACTATGTTGGGTGGTGAAAAAAATGGTCTGCTTGAGACCCACTGAACCATAGTATATAGAGCTCTGGTGGCATAGTATGAGCTTAGGTTGCACCAGTAACTAGAAGGTCAGGGGTTCAAATCCACCAGCTACGTTGAGGGAGGAAGATGGGCATTTTCTTCCCATAAAGATTTAGAGCCTTGTCACACAGTGGCGGGTCCCTCTGAGCTGGAACTGACTGGATGGGTTTGGTTTTGGGCCAGGAAAGATAATATATCATAAATTTGAATTCAAATCGTACTTAAATTGATCTTTCTCTTGTAAAGGCTCACAAAAGGAAATCTTTTGAAATGATTGATTAACAAGCTGCAGTTGTGTTCCATAGGTTTGTTCCATCAAAGGCATGATGGCGGGTGCAGAGAAAATGGTTGACTGCCTTGTTAGATCCGACAAAGAGAACTGGCCCAAAGCTTTGAAACTGGCTTTGGAGAAAGAAGAGTGCAATTTCAGTGAACTCTGGACTGTTGAGAAAGGTAGGGCATCCTGAGGAAGAACTCTGAAAGGAGAAGTGGAAAGATCTGAAAATGTTCCCTCCTTTCCTCACCGTGAGATTATTTCTCTTATGATTGCTATGACAATGTCCCGAGTCAGAGACCAGCATGAAGCTGGCTCCTAGGAGGAGCTGGCTACTTGGCTACATTAGATTAATTGTACATAACCCCTAACAGTGGACCATCTGGCTCAAAAGTACATGGAAAAAAAATCATGGCAGCTCAACTGAGATACTGAGTATAGTTTCTGGGGAGGGAGGTTGGTGATGCTTTTTTTACTATTTGGAATACATGCTGACTCTTTAACAGCTCACTGAAAAGCAAACCCAGCATGCTGGTTTTGCTTCCCACACTTTGTGTATGTTGTGTGTGTAAAAGTGAAAATCCTCTTTGAATTTCTTTTATTATCTATAAGCAGCTGCAGTGTAGAAGCTGCCGACCAGCTAAGTGGTGCAAAGTGAGCTTTGAAAAAGTGGGGGATCCCCGTATCAGGTTATTTGAAATTCTACCTTTTTTTTTCCCTGTCTCATAAAGATGCAAAAGATATTGAAGTTAAAGATCTTGAAGATGATGAACCAGAAACTTCTGAAGTACAGATATTCTACCAGGAAGAAACAGAATGTCAGAATCTTAGTGGGAACCCATGCCTGCCTTCAGGTACTTGTCATTGTTCTTTTTAATTCCAGTGCCCTTTGGATAGTTTTTGTGGAGATGTGGTTTACGGTGGTGAAGAAGTCCCAGCCTTGTGGAGAGTTTTTGAGGGAAAATTGGCAGAGACTCTGTTAAAGTAGATAATTTTCCAAGAATTAGAAATGCCCTTCTCTCCTTTACACACCTGCTATCTTCTCATCTTTCATCACATTAAAAGTACAAGTACAGTCCTTTCAGAAACTCAGGTTATTCAACTATTCAACGTCTGTGAAATCCACAGTCAGCCTTCCTTTGTAAAGAAATACTTGTTTGTGAGCCTCTTGCTCAATTTTCTTTTCAGGTCCTGGGGGTGTGCCCCCAAGCTAATGAAGTTTGTGCTTTGCACAGATTGTGCCTGACCGATGGGTTCAGTGGGAGCTGGGACCTAGCTTGTGCTCCTTTTTTTTAATTCTCAAGAAGGCCTTTTGCAAGAGTCACCTCATCTTTTTTTTTTTTTTAACTAAAGAGGTATTTTTAGTGAAATCGGTTCTCATTCAACAGATTCTATGTATAATGTTCAGTGACTTTGGTTACTGTCTTCACACTGGGCCAACTTTCTAATTATTTCTGCTCCGTTATTAGTCTATTATGGTTAACTTACTCTCCCTGTCCCAAAGCCTTCTCATCTGTGCTGTAGTAACTGTTGTCCATTTGATCTCTTACCCTTTTTTTAAAAAGAATGCCGTCCTGAAGCGTGTCACTCTCCCCTTTTCTAGCTAACCTGCTGTTTAATGAAAAGCTTTAATTTAAAAGCTAAAAGGACACTTCCCCCCCCTCTGAACAATACCTTTATTTAATAATTTTGTTTATAACTGAAACTCTGGGAATTCAAAATTAACATCCTTGCCTGTGAGCTTCTTATACACACCAGAGAAAGTTTCAACCTTATGTTCTGTGTTATTCTGCTGGGCTTTGTCCAAATGGACTTTTATAAGCCGGCTGCCATCCAGGTTTACACAGATTCTCTTGGCCACAATTTTACTGGGAAAGGCCAAGTCTTCAAGGATTGCATCATGCACAGCCGTCAGGGTGCAGCTCCTGGGGCGCTTTTGTTTATTTTTTGTGCGGCTTTTCTGAGTTGGTTTAGGCAGAATTCTCCTCTAAGCAATAAAAGACATTGTGCTTTCCACTGAACTTTTTCTCCAGTTCACATTTTAAGCGGACTTGGATTTTCTGCAAAGATTTCAGTTGAGGAACAGGAACAAAGATTATAATAGTTTTCTGACCACCACCAACTTCAATTTCCTTAGCTGCTGTTATATGCAACTCCCTTAATAGAGCTTTTAGGTCTGAGTTCATCTCCAGTTCAAGAAGAGCCTGAGAGATGCCAGACTTGAATTCATCCAGCTTTTCGCCATTGGGCTTCACAATCTTCGTGCTTTAACTGAACATGGTCTTTTTCGTGCTGAGCACTGGCCTAGGAAGAGCTAAAAGGACACCTTAATGGACAGTTTCAATTAAAAGTTTTAGAGAGTCCTCTAGTTTTGATGGCTCTGGTCAAGTTTAGATTCTTAGAGAATTTGGAGTTGTGTTTGCGTTTTTCTCTCTTTCTGCTAGCATCCATCTAGTGTGGCCCTATCAGGAGGTTGAGGAGCGGTGGTTCAGGTGATCTTACCTTTCCTGATGTATGCTTTCATGGCTGCTGGATGATGAGCCCAGAATGTTGTACAAGGAGGCATTTTTAAAAGCAGAAGGGCACCAGGAAGGAAGTGATGCTTATTGACAGTTACTGTTAACTCACTTTACTTTTCAGAGAATCTCTGTTTCTTAAAAATGAGTAAGTTTGACTCAGCCATTGTGTGATTCTGCAGAGCAGTAACCATTTGGCAATTTTGTTCTTTTTGTGTTGCAGAAGTGCCTCATACTTACTCATGGACCACATGGAAGCCAAGAAAGTACCAAGTAGAGCTCACACTGCCTGCTAAGAATGGAAAAAACACGATCATATGTGCTCCCACTGGTACTCACATAGTTTGTTTTTCTCTTTGCATCTTCCCCTATCCTTTTTATTGAATACCTGGGAAAAAGGTCCAAGGTTTGTTTTTTTTTTCGTTGTCTTGTTTGTCTTTTAAGAAAACTACCTATTATTCTAAGTCACCAGGTATTTTCAGGGACATGTGAGGGCAAACAGAAATTTCTTCTTTGGGTTCTGTTTGGTTGATCGCAAAAATTGGAGTCATTTTGTGAATATTGCAACTGTTTTCTTAACCATTGATTTAAGTATCAGCCTGTTAGTGGTTTTAGGTCTGCCAGGACTAAATGTGTGATGTTTTCACATGATTTTTTTTTCCTCTCCCCTCCCTTACTTGTTAAAAGGTTGTGGAAAAACCTTTGTTTCCATTCTTATATGTGAACATCATCTTAAAATGTTTCCACAAGGACGAGGCGGCAAAGTTGTCTTTTTTGCTGTTCAAATCCCAGTATATGAACAACAGAAATCCGTGTTCTCAAAGTATTTTGAAAGACATGGGTAAGTATAGTAGTTGGTCAGATCTCTTCTTTCCCAAATTCCTGTAACTGAATTTTTTTTTAATTTAAAATTATAATTGATTTCATTTTTATACTCCATGTGTAATTTTTCATGGATCCAAGTCTTTCTCATTAGTATATCCAAGAATACTAATGCACTCAGGTTAGCTATTGCAGCGTGAATAAAAAAGACTTCTTAAAAGGTAAATTTGACATTTTAATGACAAGGGCCCCTCGTGTGGTGTCTGTAGGGAATCTGCTGCTAATCCAGAGGAGACGCCTCCTTGGCAATTGAATCCATTAGTGATTCTCTCGGAGAAAGATGGACACTGTCCTTCCCTGTGACTTAACCTCTGACAGCCCACTGGAGGGTCAGCTTCAAGTCGGTCCTGCCTCAGCTGCATTGCGAATTTTGAGAGTGATTTTAAAGTTTATTTAATAATACCCTTTTCTTTATGTACTCTTTTATTCCTTCGTGATCTGAAAGAATGATCATGTAGTATTAATAATTATCCTGTGAACTTCCAAAAGTACAAACAGACATGTCTTGGGAAAAGTGCAGCCAGAGTGCTTCGTAGGCAGAAAGATGGAGAAACTTCATCTCAATACTTTGGGGCTGTTGCTAGGAGAGGCTATTGCTTGAAAAGGGACATCAGCTCATCAGCTCGGAAAGGTGGAGGGTCAGTGAAAGAGAAGACGACCTTCAAAGAGATGAAATGACACTGTGACAAAGTAACATGGGCAGAAAGACTTCTTTTAGAACCAGGGAGAACTTAATTCATTGATGTTCTGACGCTGTGTCTTGTATCTTTGTGGCTCACTGCTCACCTTCTGGTTGGTAATCAGGAATATCTCTCATTTTCAAGGTACCAAGTTGCAGGGGTTTCTGGAGCAACATCTGAGCAGGTCCCAGTGAAACAGGTCATTGAAGACAATGACATCATCATTTTAACCCCACAGATTCTTGTGAATAACCTCAAAAATGGGACTATTCCATCGCTCTCCATCTTTACTTTGATGATATTTGATGAATGCCACAACACCAATAAAAACCATCCATATAATATGATCATGTTTAATTATCTAGATCAGAAGCTTAGCGGATCTTCAGACCCATTGCCCCAGGTATGTCCAGAGTCAGATGGATTCCTCAGTTGAGCTACATATTTATGTACTTTTGTGGCCATCTAGACGATGGCCTTCTCAGGCCCTGAGTTTACACTATGTTGATAGGTGTCCTGTATCAGGCTGCTAACTGAAGAAGTGAAGAATCTGCCAGTGACTCTGAGAGGGAAAAAATGGGTAATCTCCTCCGGTAAAGATTTACAACCTTGAAAACCCAATGAAGCTTCACCAGACTTAGAAACAACTTAATGGCAGTAGATTTACCTAAATTTAGGATCCCTGGTGTCATAGTGTGTAAAGTATTGGGCTGCTAATGGAAAGGAAGACAGTTCGAATCCACCAGCCTGACTCCCAGGGAGAAAGACAGCAGTCTTCTTTCCAAGTGTGATGGAGGGTGGCTGGCAGTGGGTATGTGTATCAATTTTATTTCATTCATTACTTCACAGGTAAGAATTATGGGCCAAGCACTGTGGCTATGGATATAAAACCATATAGTGTTTGCACTGAAAGTCTTATAAGAGGAAAGAGAGCCAGATATGTGAGATTTAGATTACTATTTGTCCAGATTGTATACTATAGCAGTGGGAACAAAATGCAGTTGAGACATAATTGAAAGAGCTCTCATATATGCTGTGAAAGTCAGGCAATACTTAAACAAAAATTATCGAGTCGATAGATAAGTGTCTGAAGTCCAGGAAGGGGGCTGTGTGTCCAGAGGCACTGCGGTGTAAAAGCATGGTTTGATCCAAGCCTTCACAGCGGCTTGTGAAGCCCTTCTGTACCACTGGAGAGTAGATTGTGAAGTATAGTATTTGGCAAAGGGATAAAAAAGAGAGAATGAAAAAGAATGAAAAAAAAAGAGAGAGAATGATTATTAAGAGAGGCGGGAGGGTGTGGGAAAAGTTGGGTAAATATAAGAAAGGAGAAGCAACATCATTACTGATGGCACTAGATGGGAGGCGTTAAGGAGAGTCAAGATGCAGTTGTTCCTGGATGGGGCAGGAAAGGAAGGGAATCTCGTCTTTTAAATAGAAGAATGCAAGGTCACTTGATGAGAATAATCAAGGGTTTGAAATAGGAGAACTCAGAGCATACAGAAGTATTTCCTGTTGTGTTAAAAGCAGTCTCATAGATGGATTGAGTGGAATGACTGAATGTTTATTATATACTGGTATATGGGAGACAGGGGACGTGAACTTTGCAAATCTATCTTCTCTATTTCGAGGACAGTGAGGGGGAGGGGCTGGCAGATGTAGGGGAGAAACACAGATTGCAGATTATGAGGCATCTTCACTTGCCCAGAGGCCCAGAGTCGTCTGGTCAATGGTCACATCTTACTTGGTCTTATCATTATTCCAGAGCTGGCTGGTGCTGACTACATATCATAGGATGGACATTTTGTGTAATTCTGTCTTGAACACTGTAATTGCGATGTTTGGGGTTTTTTTTTTTTACATTTTAATAACTTTTATTTATATAATTAGTTTCATTTACATTATATTTCGTTCATGTATATTATGAAGTGTCCCCCATATGATAATCTTACTAATAACTACATTTGTGAAAGTGTGTAAGCCGCATGCCCTAATAGTCCCCTTTTAGAGAGCCAATTTCTGATTTACCCATCCCTATCAAACCAGTTCTCTTAGGAAACAAGCATGTCCCTTTTGCTGAAGAATCCTCTGTTCACATTGGCAGCTTGGAGCAGCACTCCTGTTATTTAGATTCCAAAGAAAGCTTAACTTCTGGTCATGAATTGCTGAAGCAAACAGGAAAGGAGGTTTAAATATATATATTAAGAAAAGCCTTGAGTTTGATAAGAAAGCAAACATTACTACAAAGTTAAAATAAATTTCCTTTGTCCTATAGTATTATAAAATGTCAGTTTCAGATCACTATATAAAAGTTAGTTTTCTATTTCTTTATTCATCTGTTGCAATATAGAAGCCCAAATGAGATTTGAAACCATGAACTTATATTGATACTACTCTTCACACTTACGTGTATTTCTGAGCCTTAATAATTACTCATTTCTTTTTCAAATAACAGAGAATGTCAGTTAAATAATAATAGCGTTCATACTTTTTATCGGAAGTTAAAACAGAAAAAACCAGCTCTAGCAGAATAGAGTTAGATGGGGACATCTTGAGACTTGCTTTGCTGTTTTCCAGACAACAATGATTTGTGTTTCTCCTCACAGGTCATTGGCCTAACTGCTTCAGTGGGCGTTGGGGATGCCAAAAATATAACTGAAGCCATGGAATACATCTGCAAATTGTGCGCCTCTCTCGACACCTCAGTGATAGCAACAGTTAGAGAGAATTTGGAGGAGTTGGAAGAAGTTGTTTATAAGCCGCAGAAATGTAAGTGGCATCCAGTGAAAAAGCCTCCAGGACTCTGTTCCACTCTTCTACACAGAGCGTGGAGCCGTGTGTGTCGTACCTAGTCAAAGCCTGTCTTTTCACGCTTTCTCTGTTTAGTTGAAAATGCTTACCTAACACTTGAGAAATGATCACATTTCTAACTCTCCTTTGGCAGTGGATGAAATTTAGGAGTGATCTGCAGAGAGAAAACATACCTGTTCTTTGGTTTCAGAAAATTCCTATCCTGGTACTTATGAGTCAGAAAGAGGTGATGAGAAACTGTAAGCATGAAAATGGCCCAGAGCAGGAGCTCTGGTGGCCAATTGGCAAGAAGCTGCACTGCAATCCCAAAGGTGTGCGGTTCAAATCCACTAGATGCTCTGCTGGAGGAGAGACACTCTCCTCTTGTACCAGAGAGATCCAGTATATGCACGAAAAGTAATAAAAGGAAATTTTTTAAAAAGGAAATGGCCTAGAGCCTAGCCCACCTTCCCTGTGGGTGCTGCTATCGAATATTTATTGGATGATTTTGGTTGAAATGATCTGCATTTGTCACAACTTTTCCAGAAAGATTAGAATATGACTTTTCTAAGATGAGCCGGCAAGTTTTTATTGAATACCGGTCCTGTATAGACCTTGCTGTCTGAGCAGCCTGTGACCATGTGAAAGTAAGGAAGAACAAATGTGGAAGAGTGGGGAGGTCCACAATCAAGTTCCTTCCAGGGAGCTGTCCGTTATGACTTTAGAAGCCATGAAAACAAACAGAAAAACTGCTCTTGGGTCTGTTCTAAGTCATGGCAACTCTGCCCTGGGTTTCAGAGGCCAGCCCTCCATATCTTTACACAAAGATATTGCTTCTTTTACTTCTACAGAGAAGCTGGTGAATTTGAACTGCTGACCTTCCAGTCCAATATATAATGCCACACAGCACCAGGGCTCGTTTTGGAGAATGCAACCTATTGCTCCTGAGTCGTTTCTGACTCCTACTGACTTTCCCTCCATTAGGTGCCTGAGGCTGAGAATCTTTTTAGTAGGGATTGCCTGCCCATCTTTCTCCCATGGAGTTTTCGTGAATTTGAATTAACTGATTTCTTGGTTATTAGCTGAACACATAACACTACAGGGGCTGCTTATGGGGAAGAGAGCTAATCTCATTCTGCTGGTATTGTGTAGGGATTTATATCTAGTCCTCCGCCTTTGTCTGACTTTCCTGGTCTCCCACCTCCTCAGCTGTGCTGTATCCTCTGGGGGCCTCAGCCACAGCCGGTGCTTCTCCTTCCAAGGCTCTGTCCATGCTGGTCTGTGGACTCCTTTTGCTTTCCCTAGTTATTCCATGGCACTACTTCCCCTGCAGTGGTTCCCCCTCCCACGTACTCCATGATACCTTCAGCACACTTCTGTCGTATCCCCCTTGTGATCCAGTGGTGTGGTCTGTCGGGAGTTGTGCTGCCAACCCTAAGGCTCTCCTGTGGTTCACATCCTCTTGTGGCTCCACAGGAGAACGATGGGCAATTTCCTTCCCTGTGATTAATTAGTCTCCGAAAGCCATCTACAGGGTCAGCTAGGACCCACTTGACAATTAGTGAGTATCTTGCCCAAGAACAGGGACCTATCTGGAGCAGAAGGTTTTGGTGAGCCAGTACATGATATGTTTCCAGTAAAAGAATGCAATAATAGATCGTAAGATTGCTGTGAGCTCTCCTGAGGGCTAGCTGGGAAGGAAGACTAGCAGAAAACTCAGCCGAGTTGCAGAGGGAGGAGGCCTTAGAGAGACGGGAGGAGACCAGCCTCAGCAGATCATAGGCTGTGTGCTCAGATTCCCGAGAAAGCCAGAGGGAGGAGGCAGATGCAACCTGATCAGGAGAGACAGAGATGTTGCAGTCAGAGCATGAGGCAATGGGGAGCTAGAAAGGTGTGGCACATTTATTGATCTCGTTTAGGCCATCTGCTGGTAAGCCTGGGATCTGCGACCTTGACCTTTACCAGGGAAGTAATAAAGGCACCGAAGCTTTCAGACTGTTTGCTTTGACCTGTGATCTCTTCTTCCATGAAATACTCACTGTCTTTTGATGGCTCTAGTTTTCAGGAAAGTGGAAGCTCGGACTAACGACAAATTTAAAAACATCATATCCCAGATGATGAGTGAGACAGAGAGAATGGCAAAGAGTGTCTTTGAAGAACATGGTATTCCAGTTCTCGGTGAGAAAAGTCCATTTCTGTCCCCTCCACGTAGGCGTAGCTGCAGATTGCTCATATATGATACTTTTTTTTGCATTCTTCTCAATTTGATTCTCTTCATTATGGGTTATCCAAGACCCTTAGAAGTTCTCCTTTTTTCCCCTCCCCTTTTCCTCCTTAAGTCTAAAGTAAATCTATCTGGACCAATGTACACCTCAGAAGTAATATATTCAGATCAGTTCATACTTTCTTGACCTTCTTATTTCCATGACTGGAACCACCATTTGTCTGGTGCCTCAGACTCAAACCTAGAGGTGACCTTGTATTCTTTCTTCTTTTGGGACTCCCTCATGTAATCACTAAGTTGTGTTCTTCCCCTGTTTCTTCATTTACTTACCACATATTTGCTGTGACAGGCACTGTTCTAAGAGATGGAAATGCTAAGATTGAAAACATGGTCCCTTTGCTTCGGAAACTCACAGTCATATAGACAAGAAAGAAATGGAATAACGCCCATGCAGCAGGGCCGGGTTACACCCTGGTGGACGGGGGAACACATAGGAGCTTCGGCTGACCAAGACTAGGTGGCAGGGAAGGCCTCTCGAGGAAGGTGGTCCCTGTGACAAATCTTGAAGATGTCAACCAAGTGAGAGAGAAAAATATGTAAGGTCACAGGTACCAGACGCATAGAGCGTAGGACATTTTAGAAACTAGAAGCGTTTCACGATAATTCTGCTAAGTGAGAAATGCAAAGGAGGGAGGCTATGAGGAGAAGGGAGGACAGGGTGAAAGACTTGGCAGACCAAACTCAGTTTGCATTTTATCCTAAAAGCAGCGAGCAAAACTGAAGAGTTTGTGTTTCATCCTAGAAGCAGTTAACAGAACTGAAGAGTTTAAAACTTAGTGATGTGGTAAAAGTATTAAGAAATGAAGAAGACTAAACAGAGAGTGGGGGTGCTGGGATGGAAAGGGTACTTCACACCAGCTCTAAGACTTTATGCTTAAGTTCATTTGGATGGCGGTGAGAGAGGGCACTGGGTGACTTCCAGGTTTCTGGCTTGGTCACCAGTTTGTTGTTTGCACCAGGACAAGGAGCAACTTTTGCAGGTATAAATTGAGTTTAGGGTTTCGGAGACAATGGATTTGTGATGTCTTTGAGAAACCTCAGGGTGTCTTTACTTCTTTCCCACTTATTTTGCTTTTTCTTTCCTAATTTAATTTAGGGCATGTTCATAAAAACTTTTAGCTAATTTACTCATTTTTACTTTGTCTTAATATACAATGTAAAAAACAGCTAAAACAGAACATTGACAGAAAATTGCCAGAAGTCCAAACCAGGTTTAGAAGAGGCCATGTCACCAGGGATATCACAGCTGATGTCAGGTGGATCCTGACTGAAAGCAGAGAAAACTAGAAGAATGTCTATTTGTGCTTTATTGACGATGCAAAGGCCTTTGACTATGTCGATCATAACAAACTATGGCTAAAATTGAGAAGAATTGGAATTCCAGAACATTCAATTATGTATACACAATTCCTAAACCTAGACCAAGAAGCTATTTTCTGAACAAAGCAGGAGAGCACTGTACGGTTTAAAAATCAGGAAAAGTATGTTTCAGGGTTATCAGGGTTGTCTGCCTATTCCTTTGCATGCTGAGCAAATCATTTGAAAAGCTGGACTTTATGAAGAAGAATATGGCATCAGTATAGGAGGATGATCCATCAACAGACTGCATTTTGCAGATCATATACAATATTGCTTGCTGAGAGTGAGAAGAAATTGAACCACTTGCTGCAGAAGATCAAATACTTCAGCCTTCATTATAGATTACATCTTAGCATCAAGAAGACTAAAGTCCTCACAGTTGGACAACATCATGATAGATGGAGAAAAGATTGAAATGGTCAACTATTTCATCTTCGTTGGATCCACAACCAACACTCTTGGTACCAGTAGTCAGGAGATAAGAAGACACATTGCATTTGGGAAAATCTACTGTCCTCTGCATATTACTAAGAAGCAGTAATGCCTGTTTGAAGAGTAAGATACACCTGATTCAGTCCATGGTGTTTTAAATCACTTGGTATGCATCTGAGAGCCAGACAATGAATACAAATGACACAAAAATTGATGTCTTTGAGCTGTGGTGTTATTGAAGAGTATTAAATATCCCATGGACCTGAAGCACTTGCTGCAGAAGGTCAAGGACTGCAGCCTTCAATATGGATTGAAGTTCAACATCAAGAAAACAAAGATTCTCACCACTGCGCCATTTGGCAGCATTAGTATGGATGGTTAAGAGATTGAGATAGTTAACAGTTTTAGTTTGCTTGGCTCCACAGTCAGCACTCTTAGTAACAGCAGCCAGGAAATCAAGAAATGAATTGTATTGGGAAAGTCAGCTGTGAGAGACCTCTCAAGAGTACTGAAGAACAATGATGTCAGGCTGGAGACTAAGGTGTGCCTGATCCGGGCTATAGTCTTCGCAATTACGTGCTATGCATCGGAGAGTTGGACAGTGACTAGAAATGATAGAAAGAGAATTGATGCCTTTGAGTTGTGGTGCTGGAGAAGAGTGTTGAATATACCATGGACTGCTAGGAGAACAAACAGATTTGTCCTGGAGAGGGTGAAGCTAGAATGCTCCTTGGACTCAAGGATTCTGAAGCTTCATCTGATATACTTTGGGCATGTTGCAAGGAGGGACTGGTCCTTGGAGAGGGAAATAATGTTTGGGAGAGTGGAGGAACGGTGCAGGAGAGGAAGACCCTCATGAGATGGATCGATTCTGTGATTGGGGTGGTGGGAGTGAGCGTGTCAGAGACAGTGAGGTTGGTACAGGATAGAGCAGGTTCAGGGCTCTTGTACATGGGTCGGTATGAGTCTCAGATGACTCGATGGCACATAACAACAACAACAACAACATGGACAGCCAAAAGAACAAACAGATATGTCTTGGAGAATATGCAAACAAAGGCAAAGATGGCAAAGCTGTCTCCCGTACTTCGGGCATGTTGATAGGAGAAGCTATTTATTGGAAGGGGACAACATGCTTGGAAAGGTGGAGGGTCAATGAAAGAGAGGAAGACCTTCAACGAGATGATTGACACAGTGATCGCAGCAGTGGGCTCAAGAGTGTCAGAGCTGATGAGAATGGCACAGGACAGGACAGGGTTCAGGCCTTTTGTTTCCAGGGTTGCTATGAGTTGTCCTTGACTCGACGGTACCTAACAACTCTGTCTTTCATCCCCCTCCCATTGCCTGACTATCAGGAATACCAATCAAGTACTGGAGTCTTCAGAAGTACAGATACTGAGTGCACTTGGGTACTAACTGAAAGGTTAGCAGTTCAAGTCCACCTAGAGGTACCTAAGAAGAAAGGCCTGGCAGTCAGCTTCAGAGAAATCAGCCATTGAAAACCCTCTGAAATTCAGTTCTACTATGAAACCCATGGGTCACCATGAATTGGGATTTCCTCCATGGCAATGGGTGGCATATTCTTAGAAGAAGGAAAATGGGAGGTTAAGGCGTGTTTAAGTTCTCCAGTTGCCACGTGTTACAATAAAATACTCTTCTATTTTTCTCCCCAGAAAACTTACTGAAGATTCAAAATCGGGAATCCGGTACACAGAAATATGAACAGCAGATCATTGCAGTTCAGAAAGAGTGCGTGGTTTTTCACCTGCCGGATAAAAATGAGGAGAGCAGGATTTGTAAGGAGCTTTACTTGTACACGTCCCATCTGCAGGTAGGTCCTCCTTTCCAAGCCGTTATCTGGGTCCTAGCACCTGCTGAGCTCTCCTCTGGAGCAGCTGAGAGAATGCAAACTTTGAGTGATGGCTCTGAGAGTGTATGCAGCGGCTTTTCCAGGAGGAGCTTGGGAAACAGACTCCAAAAGATTGTGCTTTGTGAAACTTAACGCTGAGGAAAACAGAACTTGAAACAAAAGCTGAAACTCTATACTGTTCCTCCAGTCTACCTTTAATTGATATGGTTGGGGAAAAAAATTGCATGATGGTAAGAGAACTTTATTATAAACATGTGACACTGTTAGAACCCTTTAAACTCAGTGAGAAGATCCTGTGACTGTACACTGAAGCACATGTTGTGTTTTTTTTTTTCCTTGTTGTGTACCGTTGAGTCAGTTCTGACTGGCACAAGAGGAGATTGCCCCACCTTCTCTAGCGAAGAATCTGGTGGATTCAAACTGCACACCTTCAGGATTGCAGCACAGCTTCTTGACACTAGGCCACCAGAGCTCCCTGCATATGTTGTTTTTAATGTTTGGTGGAGGTACATATTCAGTCATCCAAGGTCCCTAGTCTTTTCAGATTAACCAAGAAATTGCAAAATACAACAAAACCAACCTTCCAGCCCCTTTATTGTTCCATTGAAAAGATTTAAAAAATGCATTCATAGACTTCAAATTCCTGTAATTGAAACTTTGGTGTAGGTAGGTGGTCAGCTCCAGCATCCCAGAGAAGTACAGTTACCAATTAATTCAGTGAAGCCTTTGGACATAGAAAAGATTAAGTGGAATATGTGAATTATGGAGTAGGTTGATGTGGAAGTTGATTTGCCTTGGGGTTTTTAATGTGAATTATTTTCCTTTCTCTAGAATATAACAGAGTAGTCTCAGTTAATGATTGATGCTTGATAATTGAAATGTTTTTGGTCTGTTTCCCCTCTCCCCAACATTAGGTTCAAATCAGTACCCTTAGGGAACATTCTTAGAAAACTGGCAGTTGAACTATTTTTGGGAAAAGTTTATCCTCAAAATTACTTTCTTGTTAAGTAGAGGAACCTGAACTGAAGATGTTATGTTAGACATTAGAAGTACGCTGAAAGTTGATTTTCATTTTAAACAGATATACAATGATGCCCTGATTATCAACGAGCATGCCCGCGTCAAAGATGCTCTGGAATACCTGAAGAACTTCTTCAAAGAGGTACGAGGAGCAGGGTTTGACGAGACTGAGCAACATCTCACTCGGCGATTTGAAGGTAGGTGTTGTTTCCAGAGGAAGAAGCCCCCTTGGCACGTGGTGACTTGGGCAGCCGGGTCTTTATCTGTACACCTAACTTGGAAGAGTTTGCAAAGGTTACTTTCCACACTAACAGCAACTATACCACTTCCACCAGTGGTTTATGAAAGAGTTCCCAGTTTCTCCATTTTCTTTTCAGCACTTGTTATTTTCCAATACTAGTCATCCTGGTGGGTGTGAATTAGTATTTTATGATTTTAGTTCATAGTACATTTGTTTTTCATTGCTAGTGTTGTTCTTATGTGCCATTGAGTCGGACATGCTTTGTAGATGACCCTCCAGCAGATTTTCAGAGGCTGTAAATCACACAGGAGGAGAATGCCCACTTGCCTTTGAGTTGTCAGCACAACTCCTTATCTATGAGGCTGCCAGAGCTCCCAGTGTTTGTCATATGTTGTTGTTAGGTGCCACCGAGTTGACTGCAGCTCATAGCGACCCTATGACCAACACATCTCATCCTTCTCTATCCTGTGCCATCCTCACCGTTCTGATATGCTCGAACCCGATGGTACAGTCACTGTGCCAGTCCATCTTGCTAGGGGTTTCCTCTCTCTCTCTCTCTGACTCTCCAACTTTCCCAGAATAGAGTCCTGCCTCCTCTTCACATCGTGCCCAAAGTATTAAGTTTTTAAAATTTTGAACTGAAAAGATAGAACTACCAGAAAAAAACTCAACAGAGATACTGAAGAATTAAATCACACAATAAACCAACTTGACCTCATAGATATCTATAG